TCATTCTGTTTCTTATGAACACTTGCTTTTGGACGAAGGTACATCAGACACATTTATATTCAAGTATAAACAACTGAGTAAGATTTACTCGTTTTCTTTACCAGAGAATTTGCTTCTTTCTTGGGGACACGTCCTGAAGCCAATTCAATCTAACCCACGTAGTGCAGACAGGCGGTGTGGGCGCTGTCCTTGGTGCTGAACGGAAGTAAATGAGTAAGGAACGTATGCTGTGAACACAGACATCCACCAGGCCCCCTGAGTGCCGTGGAATGTGGAATAGTCACCCCAGTGGAGATGAAGATGAAGTGTTCCTGGGACTTCAGGGGTCAGATCAGGAAAGGCTTTGTGGAAGCAATGGCATTTGGGTTCTGAATAGAGCTTGGTTAAGTTTAGTGACTCATTTAAAACCTGGCTTTGGAATCAGAAGGCCTTGAGATTGAATTCCAGTTCTGCCATTAGTAGCGGTGTTTGGGAAAGTTACTAAACTTTCTTCCTTGCTCTGTAAAGTGGGAGAGTAGCGACCTCATGGTTTATTGTGAGAATTAGATGGGGTGATGCTTATGTAAAACAGTTGGCATGGTATCTGGCATGATGATAATAATCGCAATAATAGCCACCTTTGTCGAGGGCTTACTGTGTACTACAGCCCCCCTAACATGTCCTAAGGATTAACTGTTATTACATTACCTGATTGTTACATTTAATGTTCATACAACCCTAAGAGTTTGGTGTTTTTAGCCCTGTTACATGAGGTAGAAAGGCGCTCAATTAATTATAGGTGTTATTTAAAGCTAAACTCTGGAGGATGGCTAGAATTTTGAAAAGGAAGATGAGGACAGAAGGAAAGTAAAGGAGTGAGAATCGGGACGAGAAAGTTATTGAGGATGTACACAGAGTAGTGAGATGCCTGGCCAGGCTGGGCTACGAGACAGGGAGGGAAACTAGGAGCAGATGTGGAGGGGATCAGATGATGCAGAGTCTTGAATGCCTGGGTGCAAAGCCTGGGTTGAGCCTAACTCAGCGGGGAATGAATCATTCTCAGGTTTCAGATAAGATCATGGTGTGATTGAAGCTATGATTTATCTATGAATTTGTTTGTATTTTACTTCCAGTTACAGTATAGAATTAATACATTCATTATTTTAAAAAATTCAGGCAACGTAAAGGCATACAAAAGAGAAATAAAATCCCCTCCCTGATGTCTGGTTAGAGTGTAAATTGGTACAACTACAGTTGTGACACTGGAACCCACCTGTGTGAGAATAGTTGAACTTTGACATGCTTAGCATGCCAGCCTGTCCTAGATCAGGTGTCCCCAAAGCAGATCTGTGAAGAGATTCATGTACAGGTAGTGCATGAAGAAAGTGCCCTCAGAGGAGTCTGGAGAGAAGCAGGACAGGAAAGGAGAGGAGGCCAGCAAGAGTGTACTCTCGGGCAGGTCCTGCAAAGAGTGGCTCCGGCCTCACTGTGGGGCCACTTTGGAGCCTGTGTTATGCTTCAGAGTTGTTCTGACCTGGGGGTAAAGGAGATGAGGGTTCATTCTACTGTTCCATTTAGTCTTTGATGAAGGGACAAGGAAGGGGCAGGTTAGGAATTATCCATTTTCAGACTCTTATAGCTCTGTGTGGGGGTGAGTTCAGTAGGCCAAAGGAAGACAACCCCCAAAAGGTGTCAGGTACTGGCTGTCAGAAGCCACAGCATGCTAAAGTGGGGAGGGGACTCACAAAGAGGTCAAAGGCGGGTTTTGGTGAAGCACCACATTGTTCATGCCAGCAGGTCAAGTGAGGGTCTGTGTCTGGGTCCTGATGGGCTGTAGCAGCGACTGATAGTCCCTCCCTGTGTCTCACCAATGTGTGTTTTATCAACAGAGAATGATAAAACCAGCACTTTGAAGTGTGTTTAACATCTCATGAGGGCTTCCCCCTAACAAGAAGGCACTCAGTATATGTTTGTTGGGAGAATGAAAGTGCCATATCTCGGGCTGGGGACTGAGATGAAGCCCTTAGATCTGGTTCCCAAAAGTCACTGGAGACCGATTTAGTAGGCCATGTGATCAGAGAGGGTGTGGTTGGTGAGATGGTGGCCAGAGGCTGTTCTCTGAAGAAGTCATTTGATGGAAGAAGCAGAGCCTTGAGTAGGCCCACGGCGTGGAAAGGGCCAGTGGAGAGAAGCAAGATCCAGAGAGGAAAGATGGTGGAGGAGGTGATGGTGAGAGTGGGAGGAGGTGAGGTGATAAGGATACACACGCATCAGCCTTTGCCAGGGGAAGGATGGCCCCTTCCTTCAGAGACAGGGGGAGGACTGAGGAGCAGGTTGAAGGTATGAAATTGGTGAAATTTGGAAATGAGAACAAGCAGAAGCATGGGGACATGTCTTCTCAGCCAAGTGGGATGATGGGTCACAGGGTGGGGAGTTGGGAAAACACTAGGACATTCATTTTGGGGACTGTGGCTGAGTTAGCAGGAGATGATCCACAGAAGGGTGAGGTGGCAGAGGCTGGATAGCAGACATTGTTGTGGTTGAGTCCAGTCGTGGTCCCCATATTGGGGAAGGTGGCATGTCAAGGATCCAACGCATCTAGGAGGGTCAGCACGATGGTTGTTGAGGGCACATTTGGAGAGCATTGGAAGGTCTTCCTGTCTCTACGGTGGCCGTGTCTCCTTTTGTTTAGCCCTACTGTTTACCCGGCACTGCGGAAAATGGTCTATCATTTAACCTTCTCCGCAGTTCCCTAGAGTAGGTGCTGACTTGCCTGAGGTCTCTCTCCCTGGGCTGTCTTTGCAATGCCAGACTCACCTTTGTGTTAGCCAGGGCTGCTGTGAGGCTCAAGGAGGGGTGTGAATGGGAAATGCTCTGGGACTGTAGAATGCCACAAAGAAGTGAAGTGAGCCCTGGGGAACTGAGTGGTGTGTCATGCTTTGCTCTTCACTCTTCCAGGAGAAATATGTCAGACCCTGGTGGGTGGAGACAGGCCAGTGTGGGAGCCCCAGAACAGGGCTCAGTGGGGCAGTTGGCAGCCTAGGCAGGTGTCTGCAGCCTGCCTGCGGGGTGCCCTGTTCATGGGTCTGTAACCCCAGTGGGGGGATGTTTGTCTCTGTATATTGTATGAGTGTGTGTGTGTTTGTAGGTGTGTCTCTGTAGGTTGTTTCTGAATGTGAATGTGAATGTGAATGTGTTCCTGTGTCCTTGTCTGTGTCTCGGTACCTGCTATACACAGGGGAACTCAGGAACAGTGGAGAGAGGGGAGGCTGTGGATGTGAGTTAGGGGAAGAACAAATGTGGAATGAAGTGGAAGCAGATTCTGGAGCACACGTTCCTCACATGTTCAGAAACACCCAGGGTGCATGTGCAACAGAGAAACATACATAGAGTGTCTGTATCTCTGCGTATGCATGTGTGTGTGTGTGTGTGTGTGTGTGTGTGTGTGTGTGTGACACCATCCTTGAGCTGGGAGCAAGGCGGCCCAGGAGAACACTGACAGGAGGCATCCCTACTTTGCCTGCTCCTGGAGCACAGGCCAGCTCGCCTGTCCTTTGACAGGAGCAAGATGATGGGGGTATGATTGCGACTGCTTTTCCCCAGTGTGTCAGCCAGCAAGCACTAATGTTAGCCCCTCAGGAGATAAGCCCACCTTCAGACTTTGTGGGGCCAGGAGAAAGATCCCACTAAAGATCATCCCCCACCTCCAGCAAGCGCACAGTCCCTGCAGGGTGTGCAGGATATATAAAGTTTACTTTGAGTCACTAGGCCAGAGAACAGAGAGCTTCCTGGGGCTGTGTCCTGGCTCCCACCTTCCTGTCTCTACAGGCGTGAGCAAGTTCTCACCTCTCTTGGCACTAACGTGGGCCAAAGCAGCATCCATTTCGTGGGTAGTTGCGAGGATCAAGGCTGTTCTCAGGGCAGACATTGGGCCCTCCACAGTTATTAACTGAGCACCTACAAAGGACCAGATGCTTTTCTTGATGTTGAGGCTTCAATAGTGAACGTATGAAGCTCCCTGTCTTCTTGGCACTTCTTCCTTCTACATGAAGGGAGCTGGCCCATATGCCAGTGATGTTTAACACATCAGGGTGTAAGAGTTAGGAGGAAAACCAGAGGAGGGTCAGGGCAGGGATGGGCAGGGTATTGAGAGGGCTGCTGTTTTGGGGAACCTGGGAGTGGTCAAGAAGGTCTTGGAGAAGATGATGCTTGAACACAGAATGGAAATGAAGGAGTGAGTACTGATGGAGAGGGTGTTGGGGGCGGGAATAGCCAGGGCAAAGGGTCAGTTAGTTTCATAATAGGCCTGTTGTTCTCCTACTCTATTAGTGAGACACAGAGAGGTTGAAAATTTGCCCAGTATCTCCAAGCCAGTGAGAAAGAGGTCCAGAATTTGAACCCAGGCCATCTGGCTTCAGAGCCAGTGGTCTAAATTAGTGACCTTCAATTTAGGGTGATTTTTGCCCCCTGGGGGCTATTTGGCAATGTCTGGAGACAGTTTTGATTGTCACAGCTGGACTAGGGGTTGCTATTCACACCTAGTGGGCAGAGTCCAGGGTTAGACACTCTGTAGTGTACAGGACAGCCCCACCACATGGCTGTGTGCCATCCAGAGTATATTCATACCACTCGCCAAACACCTGGTATAAATCCATGAAAAGCACTTGAAGAGTAGGATAAACAGTAGGTGCTTAATAAATAGTAGCTGGAGAGGAGGAGGAGAAATGATTTGGAGAAAGTTACAGGAAAGAAGTGAGTTCAGAGGGGAGAAAAAGTTCACGTCGATTAATCCATCATTTAATAAAACTCACACGATTCTGTCTGTTGGGTGGGTGAGAAGGCAGGGCTGCCCTGGGGGTTTGGGGGTGGGGTTCAGGTAAGGCCAGGGATCTGAGGAGGCTGAAACTGGACAACTGCTGAGATGTTCTCGAGATGACTGAAGCACTAACCAGATGACTCTTTTCTCGGCCCCTCCCACCTGTGTCTCTCTCCCCATCCCTCTTGACTTCTTTGCTTAGCAGGAGACAGCCGGAGACTGAAGGGGGCCATCCAGAGGAGCACGGAGACAGGCCTGGCAGTGGAGATGCCCAGCCGGACGCTGCGCCAGGCCAGTCACGAGTCCATCGAGGACAGCATGAACAGCTACGGCTCGGAGGGCAAGTGCGTGTGGGACCACCTCTGGGCTTTCATGGCCTTCAGCAGTGGGAGTGGGAGGGACTGGCCACCCCTCCAGGAGCCCTGAGTCAGCCTCAGGCTGTGGGGACATCACCGTGGGACTGCTGGGTGCCCATCTTCAGAAGGGAGGCAGTGAGGCCCCAGGGTGGGTGTGCAGAGTGCAGGCTCCGACTGCCTAGGGGCGAATCCTGGCTCCGTTCTCCACCCCCTCCCGCCGCCCCTTGTAAACTTGGGCAAGTCACATCTTATCAGGATGAATTATTTATGATCATTTAATCCTGGGTTAATGTTTACACAGGGTGGAGGACAGTTTTGGCACCCAAGTGCTGCATATCACTGTTGGTGAAGAAACAAGAAGGGAGTTGAGAGGGCTTTTATTCTCAACATTATTATTTCCACTTTACATTTGTAGTTTCTTAACTCCCAGTTGGTTTTTCAAAATAATACATCCTACTGCTCAATACAGGCGTTCCATATACGTCAGATCATTGAACAGCCGTGCAGACTGGCTCCAGGCCAGCATTTCTCTCCCTTGGCCATGTGTCAGGATTGCTGGGAAGTGCCTTACCAGTGCAGACCGTGCAGCCCCATACCCTATCTGCTTGGTTAGGTCCTGGGAGCACAGCCCAAGAACTCCATTGTGAAAAAGCTCTCCACTGTTGAAAAGAAGAATTAATCTAGACTAGGGGTTTCTCAGCTTTAGGGAACCCTTGGAGAATTTTGGGAAAGCACTGGACCCGCTTTCCTCAATATACGCACATGCATCCGAATACATGTACACACACATTCTTACACACACAGTCATGCAGACACACTCTTCTCAAACTATAGGGGATCCCCAGATGCCCCTAAGACCATCCATGGACCCCTGGATTAAAGAAACTGTGATCTGGCCAGACTTGGTGGCTCAGCCTGTAATCCTAGCACTTTGGGAGGCCAAGGCGAGTGGATTGCCTGAGCCTGCAGGTTCGAGACCAGCCTGGGCAACTTGGAAGACCTCATTTCTACAATAAATAAATTTTTAAAAATTGGCTGGGTGTGGTAGTACCCCCCTGTAGTTGCAGCTACTAGGAAGGCTGAGGTGAAAGGAGTGCTGGAGCCCAGCAGGTCGATGCTGGGGTGGCCATGAGTGTGCCACTGCATTCCAATCTGGGTGACAGAGTGAGACTCCAAGTCAGAGAGAGAGAGAGAGAAGGAAGGAGGGAGGGAGGGAGGGAGGGAGAGAGAGATGAGGAGAGAGAGAGGGAGGGAGGGGGAGAGAGAGAGAGAGAGAGAGAAAGAAACTGTGATCCATACTGACTTTCCTATTGTATAGATGACCAGTGCACTCAGTGAGGCTAAGGAGCTTGCCCTGGGTCATACAGCATATGAATAGGTCTGCAACCTAGGAGTCCTGGCTCCCAGCTGGGAGTTTTTCCACACACCACATTGCTGCATGGTCCCAGCTGTCCTCGGAAGCAGTGGCTGGGGCAGGTTTCATGATCCTTGTCATGCACAGGAGGAGACTGAGGCTTGGAAAAGTTAAGTGCCACCAACTGTCCAACTGAAAAGAAGCCGCTAGACGTGGGTACTTAAAACATAAATTAATTAAAATTAAATAAGGTGAAATATTCTGTTCTTCTGTGGCACTAGCCATATTTCAAGCGCTCGGTAGCAATGTGTGACTAGCAGCAGCCATTTTGGGTGGTGCAGAAAATAGAACATTTCCATCTTCACAGAAAGTTCTGCTGGATAGCTCTAAGTGGCTCAAGCAAGGGCTGATACCCACTGGTGAGGGGTAGGGCTCGGCCTTCCTTTTGCTCCCCTTCCTGCTGGTCCTGCCTCTCAGCTGTGGACTCCTGCCGGCTGAAAGCCTTCCCCGCCCCCAACCCCTCCTAAACTGGGCATCTCCAGCCTCGTGAATGGCCTTACCTTAACAGATGCTGCCGTTCCACCCACCTCCTAGTGAGATTTTCCAGTGGGCGAGAAGAGGAGGAGGATAGCGGAAGAGAGAGGAGGAGGAAGAAGGGAGCCAGTGTTTTCTTTAACCTGAGAAACATGGCAAGGCAGCGAAACTTGTTGGAAGTTATTCTCGGCATCTGGAGAGCAGTGGGTCCCTGCAGACAGGCATGAGTCTTGGGGGGTCAGGAGGCTTAGGTCCTAGTGCTGGCTTTGCCACTGACCCCCCTGGATGGGGCCTCTGAGCATCTAGGAGGCTGGTCAACATCTTGGTGGCCTCCCAGGCAGTTCTGGAGAACTAGATTATGGGGAGGGCTGCGTGCCTCAGGGAGCAGCAGCAGGGCAGTCAAAACCATACTCCCATTTCACAGAAGAGAAGGTGAAGGCTCATGTGACTCGTCCAAGGGGAGCATTATGAAAGGGTATTGTAAAAAATAAACAAGGTAATACCTACACATGACAGATGCTTGGAAGGTGGCTTTTGCTATTTTTTATTGTAATGTGCTTAATGGGAGCAGAGATCTAATTACCTGACAGACAGGCTCAAAGCCAGGACTCAGGGGGTCAGATAGCCCTGGGGTGTGGCTCATTTCTTCTTCTTAGTGGCTGTGTGGCTTTGGGGAAATTACTTCACCTCTCTGAGCCCGGTTTCTTAATCTATAGAAAAGAGACAGTGATAGTATAAGCAGTCATTGAATTGCTCTGAGGGTTAAATATGTTAATATATATAAAAGCACACAGAACAGTGACTGACACATGGCAGGCACTGTAGTTGTTAGCTGCTATTATTGTTTGTTGTTAATTAAGCCTCTGTTAGCTGGGCATTTTGCTACTTGTGGTCAGTTACATCCTAACAGATCTAGTGAACCATCCCAAAGACAATTGTGTCTATAGAGTGCTTAGCACAGAGTAAGCACTGAGTAAGTGTTGGCTGTGATGATTATGATTATCAACAGGTTTGGGTGGGTGTTTCGAACCCAGTGGAGGAAGGATAAGGTAGGATGAAGGATGCCAGGTTCAGCAGAGGGGACAATCTGGGCCTCCTGAGAGGGGCTGAGTCCTGGTGGATCCCAGCCAGGTGCTCCTGCCCACCCAACACCTGGGCGAGGAAGGGGCATAGAAGGGACAGTTGTGGACATGGAGCTGTGGTCAGCCTTCTCCTTGTTCTGCAGGTATTTGGGGCACAAGTGGGACTTACACGCCAGGCTCTGAAATGGGAAGGGATGTGATTGTCCTCCCCTCTCCCCACCCCCTGAGCTTCTGCCAGCCCAACTGAGGCTTACAGAGAGCTGACCTTGCTTAAGCAACCCCTATGAGGCTGCAGTCCCTGGCACCACCAGGTCTCTCTGACTGTGCACTGAGTTGCCGGGCATATGTGTCCCTGTGAGTGGGCACAGGAGTGCACCCAGATGGATTTTCATGTCAGCAAATGTGATTGAGCATCTACAAGGTACCAGGCAGTGGGACTGGGCACCTCAGGGACCCTGCCCTCCATGAGCTTCCGTGCTGGGGCTCTGACCAAACAAGTGGCAGCATGAGGAGAGCAGCAGAGGATGGGTAGAGAAACCTCTGGAAATGCTGAGACCCAACCAGGTCTCAGGGATGGGGAAGAGGGTGTGTGTGGGTGGGCTGCTCTGTCAGTGAGGATACCTTGAGCTCCAGGGTACATAAGACCAGAGGATGGTGGCTTCAGCCCTTGCTACTCAAAGTGTGGTCCACAGCCCCACAGCATGGGCATCCCCTGGGACCATGTTAAAAATGCAGAGTCTCAGGTTCCACCCCAGACTGACCCATGAATCAGAATCTGTATTTGAATGAGACCCCCGAGTGGTTTGTATGCACATTAAGGTAGAGAAGGCCTAACTTAATGGTGACAGAGGCCATAGCTAACTCTTGTAGAGAACACTTACTGTGTGCAGACACTGTGCTAAGTGCTCTTACTTCCATTGACTCATTCAATTCTCACAACCTGATGATGGTGGGACTGTTAATATCCCCATTTTACAGATAAGGAAATGGATGTTCAGATAAGTAACTTGCCCAAGGTCACACAGCCAGTAAGTGACCAGGCCAGGATTCAAATCCAGACATTTGGAGTCTGCCCTTAACAATTACACTTGGCTGGGCTCGGTGGCTCAACCTGAGCCCACGGGTTTGAGACCCGCCAGGGCAACTTGGCAAGACCTTGTCTTTACAAGAAATCAGAAATTAGCTGGGCGTGGTAGCGTGTGCCTGTAGTTCCAGCTACTTGGAAGGCTGAGGTGGAAGGGTCGCCGGAGCCCAGCAGGTTGAGGCTGCGGTGGCCGGGAGCATGCCACTTCACTCCAGTCTGGGCGACAGGGTGAGACTCCAACTCAAAAAACCCCAAAAAAACAATTACACTCAACACTGTCTCATTTAATGGTTGCATCTACCAAGATTTTGGGAGGTGGGGGCTTTTGGGGTAGTTTGGCGGTTTGAGGATGCCATCAAGGGCCCGGAGTTCCCCTGCCCCCGCCTTTTCCCTCTGTAGGCCTCAGCATGTTGGGCCACTCATGGCTTATCCTGGAGGCTACAAAGGGACTTCTTTCTTTGAGTGCCATTCTGCCTGATCAAAAGTTGGTGTTCAATTGGGTGTGATGGCTCAAGGCTGTAATCCCAGCACTTTGGGAGGCCAAGGCAAGAGGAATGCCTAAGCCCACGGGTTCGAGACCAGCCTGGGCAACATGATGAGACTTTGTCTCTGCAATAAACTAAAAAACTAGCCGGACATGGTAGTGTGTGCCTGTAGTTCCAGCTACTTGGAAGGCTGAGGCGGAAGGACCGCTGGAGCCCAGCAGGCCGACACTGGGGTGGCCGTGAACGAGCCACTGCACTCCAGCCTGGGCAATGGAATGAGACTCCAACTCAAAAAAAAAAAAAAAAAAATTGGTGTTCCATACAAGGGAGGGGACCCAAAAAACTTGGGATTATCTTTTTTAGGATGGGCCCCTCGTAGTACACTTGGAACTTGTTCCTCCAGATCAAATGGCCAACCACAATTTTTATCTGAAAGTTGTAAGAAGGCT